GGAGGAGACGGAGGAACCAGTGGGATGGGGGGGTAGAGCTTACCTGCTAATGCTGGTTCCTCCTCCACTGGCTCAGTTTAAAGCTCCCCCGCCCCACCCCGCCCCGCAAGTTTCGCGGGTCTTCTTTCTTGTATCTTCCTAACACTATGACCCTCAGTTTTTTTACCACCTGGAGATTGGCAACCTCAGGTGGATCCTGGGGAGGGCAGGGTTTGGGGAGGGGAGGGACGTCAGTGGGGTATAATACCATAGAGTTCACCTTCCAAAGCAGGCATTTTGTAATCCCAGGAGATCTCCAGCTACCACCTGGAAGTTGGCAACCCTACTTGGAAGTGATGTATTGCTATTGATCAGGGGTATTGTACTTATGGCACATGAAATCCTTCCAACATTCCCATTGAATAATTACCTCTCAAGATGACATCACAGTTTGCAGCAAGCAACAGGCAGTAATTGAATTCCACCCCTTAAGCTGGTAATTGCTCTGGCCACAGTTGCTAATGATGATGCTTAAGCTGCTCTGAAACTCCTTCAGGTAGTGAAGAGCGGGGTATAAAACCCCTTCTTCTTCTTCTTCTTCCTCTTCCTTTTCAAATTGATCGATCTAACCACTTAATCAACTAAATGCTGTAGTCGCAGTATAGAACAAGTTTTTTTATGACACTTCAAGAAAGTTGCAAATGGTTTTCTGGCACTTTGTAATAGCTACACTCCTATAACTGACCTTCCACAGAATCCTGCTGGGTCTATGCTATCAGACGTCTGTTGAGAATTCTGTCCTGGGAACTCAGTTCCCAGGTGCATCAGGCCCAATTTACTCACTGGAGGCTCAATAAGATTGCCAGCCTCCAGGCAGGGTCTGGGAATCTTCTGGAATTACAACTGATCTCCAGCCAACAGAGATCCGTTCCCCAGGAGAAAATGGTGGGTGGACTCTATGGCATTATACCCCTCTGAGGCTGCCTCCTCTCCAAACCCTGCCCTCCCAGAGTTCCACTTCTAAATCCCCAGGAATTTCCCAACCAAGAGTTGGCAGCAGCCCTAGTACTAATGGAGTACACCTAGCATTCCCCCATGGATGCCTCCTACTGGGGATGTTTCAGGTCAGAAAAATGTTAGAGGAGCAGACAAAAGCTCTCTCTCTCTCTCCACCCACTGAAGTCCCAGTCCTTCCATTAATCTCCCAACACGAAACTCTCAACAAATGACTGATCAAATAGAACTGGGGAAGAGCCAGGGGAAATGTGACCTGGGGCGATTTCGCACTAGAGCTGCCTCGCAGCGCAGCCCCGTTTGCCCCGACACAAACGGGGCTGGATTTGACCCGCAGCTTCGCCCGATTTCCTCCACAGTTTCATGATCCTTAAAAACCAGGATCACAAAACTGCGGAGGAAATCGGGTGAAACCGCGAGTCAAAATGCAGCCCCGTAGCCTCGAGTGTGAAATTAACATGTTTGTGTCGGGGCAAACGGCGGCTGCACCTCGAGGCAACTCTAGTGCGAAATCACCCCTGTAGTTAGGGCCTGTTAGATATTGAAGTGCTGGATAGAGTTTTGGGATTGGGTCATGCTTGTCTGCTAGGGTTGGTAACTCTGGTTTTGGAAATTCCTGGAGATATGGTTGAGCCGGGCACTGTTGGGGAAGAGGGGGACCTCAGCAGGGTATAGCGCCATAGGTTCTGTCCTCCAAAGCATTTTCATTTCATATGTTGTCGAAGGCTTTCACGTCCGGAGTTCATTCGTTGCTGTAGATTTTCCGGGATGTGTGGCCATGGTCTTGGCACTGTAGAACCTGACGCTTCGCCAGTTTCATTTCTCATTTTCTCCAAGGGAACTGATCTCTGTAGCCCGGAATTCCAGTCCCCATTTGGAAGTTGGCAAACCTCTCCCATTTCACTGCATGCCCCTCTGAAATTCTTGGGCCTAGCTTGTCCTGCAGAGTTGTTCTCAACATAGAAAACAGTCTGTTGCATGTTTAGACACTGTCCCTAGCTTGGATTGAGAATTTTCCAAAACAATAATTTAACCTTCTTCTCATTTTCTGTTGGGATTCTTTGATTCAGGGTCGATGGTCGTATTGCAAACACAAGAGCCACACTTAGTAAAAGAAAAATATCTTTACTATAAAAACAAAATAAAACATGGGTATGGTACTTTGGATAAAAGAAATAAAATAAAAGGTTACATACTTGCAGTTACTCTCAGTAATCTATGCTAACAGCTACATCTTTCTATCTGTCTTGGCTTCTAGAAGAGAACTACCGCTTTGGTTCACACAAAGGGCCATAAACCTTGTGAATACATTAATGCTAGATCAAAGCATTTCTACAAACAAGATGTTAGTTGACCAATACAAAGGTTACAGGTCACTTCATTAGGATAAACAACTCCCACAAACTTTCCCACCGTTGAATACATTATGTAATGTAACATCCTGTTTGCTAACAAACAACATTTAACTCTGTAATGACTGAAGTGTAAGCAACTTGCAATTCCAACATTTCCCCCATTATGTTAGTTGCCAGATGACCAGGGAAAAAACAACAACCCCAGGGTGGCCCTTTTGTGTGTCTTTAAAAGCAGTGTGCCCTTTCAGGAATCAACTGGTGCGATAAAGCAGGTTCAGCTGATAACTGCTGACAGAGTCTGGGAAGGAAGTTGGTAACCCTGTTTTACAAGCTCCTACTTTTCCTGTTTCATTTAGGCTCCTGGCTTTCACTCACACCTTCCGGAACCCATTTTTGTCAGTGCGTCCAGACACTTCACACTCTGTTTTCGAAAGTACCTGTGTTTATATTATAATAAAAGCATAAAGCAAGGAAAAACATTTTGGTCCTTCATCGAAAAAGCCCCAAGGGGTAATTGAGTCTATAATACATCCCGAAAATGCAGCGTTGTTCCTTTCATCTTGTGCAGGTAATCAGCATCAAAAGCTTCTTTTTGAGCCACTGTAAAATAATTTTTCCAGTCGCCAACTTCACCTGAGGGAAGGGGAATGCAGAAGAGGAAAATGAAAGAGCAGAGGATTGTGGGTAGCGTAACGACAAAATCCCATTGTGGAGAACCCTGACATTGTGGGGGCCAAGTTCACTAGCCACTTTGTGGGTGATGAGGTCCTCTCTGGGAGGCAATGTGGCTGCCCAATGGGCTCTTTTTGTAGCAGGTACTCATTTGCATATTAAGTGACACACCCCTAATGTAGCCAATCCTCCAGGAGCTTACAGTAGCTCCTGTAAGAAGAGCTCTGTAAGCTCTTGGAGGATTGGCTACATTAGGGGTGTGTGGCCTAATATGCAAAGGAGTTCCTGCTACAAAAAGAGCCCCCATTCTGCAGATATGGAGGAATAAGTCCTGGCTGGCCCATCTCAAGAAAATGATATGGAGATGCTCCTATGATAAATGAGGTGGAGCACTTTATGAAGAAAGGCAACAGCATTTGGAGCTTTTTCTTTCATAAAAAGATGCATATGGGGAGACGTGATAGACACTTACAAAATTATGCACAATGTGGAGAAAGTGCATAGCAAGAACTTCTTCTCCCTTTCCCATAATACTGTATCTCAAGGGAGACTGTTTTTATTGTTTTAATGAAGTATTGTTGTTATTTCTGGTGGGTTTGAGCCAATCTGGTGTAATGGTTAAGTGCGCAGACTCTAATCTGGGAGAACCGGGTTTGATTTCCCACTCCTCCACTTGCACCTGCTGGATGACCTTGGGCAAGCCATGGTTCTGGCACAGCTGTTCTTGAAAAAGAGCAGTTTCTGTCAGAGCTGTTCTCTCAGCCCTGCCTACCTCACAAGGGTGTCTGTTGTGGGGAGGGGAAGGGAAAGGAGTTTGTAAGCCGCTCTGAGACTCCCTTGGGAAGTGAAGGGCGGGGTATAAATCCAATCTCTTCTCTTCTTTTAAAATGTGATTTTATTATGTGTGTTTTAATTCATTAGCTGCCTTGGTGGCCCTTGTGAGGGCAGAAAGGTGGGATATAAATTTTGTAAAACTTAAAAAAAACAACCATGTAATTTAGGGGCAGTAGATTCAGGGCAGGAAAAGAAAGTCCTTCTTCACACAAATTTAGAGTCCTGGGGCACCTTTAAGACCAACAAAGTTTTATTCAAGGTGTGAGCTTTTGTGTGCACGCGCACTTTTTCAAATACACTGGAATGGAAGGTCAGGTTCAAACTAACATAAGGTTCATATTAACGTGTAACACGATGAAGATGTTTTAAGATATGTGAAGACAAACTAAATAACAAGCTGAATACGTCCAAATAGCTTGTTATTTAGTTTGTCTTCACATATCTTAAAACATCTTCATCGTGTTACACGTTAATATGAACCTTATGTTAGTTTGAACCTGACCTTCCATTCCAGTGTATTTGGAAAAAGTGTGCGTGCACACGAAACCTCATACCTTGAACAACACTTTGTCGGTGTTAAAGGTGCCGCTGGACTCTAAATTTATTCCACTGCTTCAGACCAACATGGCTGACCACCTGGATCTATCCTTCTTCACACCATACATGGTTAACGAATGGAGTTCACTGCTGAAACATTTAGTGACAGCTGCTTGCTTAGATAGCTTGGAAAGGGGGCTTGAGGCACCTACAGAGGGCAGATGTTTCAGTGACTATTAGCCAAGCTGGCTAAATAGAATTCTCATATTCAGAGGTAGCCGGCCAGTTACTGGGGAGCAGCGGCAGAGAACGGCTACTTCCCTCATGTGATGCTTGTGGACTATCTGATACTATCTGGTCAACCCCTGTGAAAAAGAAGATGCCTTCCAGAAGGACATTCCAACAAGGCTCCCTTAAGTTATTGTCTATTGAGTTGGGAAGATGCTTCATGCCTGGTGAAGAGATCCAACAGCATGTCTCAAGCCACTCGCCGGGTCCCATAATGACTAGATGAGACTGACTTCAAGGCAGGATGGAGCTCAGCGCAACAAAGATAGGTTCAACTGGATGTCTTAATTTGAACTGATTTCCAATACTGCTATTATCCACTGTTTGGGAATTACAGCAGCTGGGAACCTGGGTTCTCGGAGGGCTTACGTCCAGTGTTCCCTCTAAGCTGAGTTAGTGTGAGCCAGCTCACAGTTTTTTAGCCTCCGGCTCACACTTTTTTGTCTTAGCTCAGGAAGGCCGGCTCCAGAGCAGGCTAATCTATGCAGTAGCCAAATTGCTCACTCACCACTTTAATGCCAGTCGCTCACAAAGTAGAATATTTGCCCACAAGACTCCACAGCTTAGAGGGAACGTTGCTTAAGTCACCTACTCACCTTTCCTCATAAAGGAGCTTTTTGTCCTGTCAAAGATGAAGTCGGGAACAGTGTCATAATTTGCCATCGGATTGTCTTTCATGACTTGGAAGGAGGTCTGATGGGCAATCGTCTGAACAATGTCCTCAGGCAAGTCAACCTCCAGGAAATCCTTCACACGCCGGATCTCACGGGCCAGGTCCTGGTGGAGACAGGAAACGTTTGTTACGTTAAAGACTAATTTTTTAATTTTAGTCTCAGCTTTTCTGGACTAGAGCTTAACTGATGGAAAGTGATGCTAGAAAGAATTGGCTTGTCTTTTCATTGTCACCAGTCTCCTATTCAAATAGGGTAATGTAGGAAGTTGCCTAATGCCACGAGACATGTGCTCTCTGGGAAGCAAATGGACCCTCTCAGAGCAGGCTTTTCTAGCTTACACGAATGAACACCAGTGCTATTTGTAGGAGACTGGAAGCCTGAAAGAAAAAGAGACCAACTCTCTCAGAGAACTTTTGCAATCTGGTCACTTAAAACATAACTTGAAGTCACCACAGGTAATCAGTCAGATGAGTGGCAGTTTCAATGCAAGAACAGAGTTCCCACGAATTCTTCTACATGGGGACTATAAGCATTAGGGCTGCTAGGTCTCCTTGCTGTAGGAGGAGACCTGCCAAAGTCAGCCTCTAACCCCTACTGCCTCCGTTGGAGGGACAATTTTGGTAAAACCATAAAGTTTGCAGTGAATCCTAGAGCATTTAACCTATGGAGTGACCTCACTTCTGGGTTTGCCATGGCAGTGACATCATGCCACCGATGCAATGGTGGCCGCTCCATGTCCTTGCCTCCCATTGTCTCTCCGGATGCCAGGCAACCTTAACATGCACATCTGCACAATAGGATCAAAAGATTATTGGAGCCCACCCTAAGGACTTATTCTCATCATGATTTTTTATTATGCAGTTAATTCACTGCTTTGGCTGTCATAGGTAAGCCATAGGGTTGTCAGACGGAGCTCTTCCACCAGGCCTTTGGGTAGGAGCCGCCGCCACCACCACCATCGCTACACCACCTCCGCTGTATCGTCCATCGACCAGACCCTATGGAGGTCGATTAGTCTGTTTGCGCTGGGACGCTTTCATTATTAAGATCATAGGCAGCAAATAATCGCCAAGCATTTTGTAAATGGTATAGACTGTATTTCTCCAGGGGAGCTGATCTCTGTCAGCTGGAGATCAGTCGTAAAAGCAGGAGATCTCCAGGCCCCACCTGGAGGCTGGCAACCCTAGAAAGCCATGTCAGGCTATCCAATATATTATTTCTGTAATGATTTTATTCCCGCCCCCCGACAAGTCAACACAACATGGTTGTATCAGTTTTATGGTAGTCTGACATGTGATGAACCCCTGGGATCTGTTCTTTCCCCTTGTTACAAAGACCATTGAGTGACATTATCCATAGCTTTGGAGTTGGATGTATACCAGGCAGGGGTCTTGTTGTAGAAAAAGAGCTGCCGGAGCTCATTAGCATAACTCATTAGCATAACTTATTTGCATATGCCACGCCCCCTGACATCACCGGAAGTGACAGAAGGCCACACCCCCTGACATCACCGGAAGTGTGTCAGAAGGCCCGGCTACTTACCCTCCTGCTTCATCCTCATTCCCAAACAGAATGAAGATCGAAGCAGAGGGCGGGGTAAAGAAGGGGGCGGGGCTTCACCACGTTACCGCCCCGCCCCCTAGAGGTTCTCTTCCGGAGCTCCGTACCTGAGAGCTCCCCCCCGACTAGAGCCCTGATACCAGGGGACATGTGGGTTTCCCCAAGAGGGCAGATAGTGACCAACCCAGACCATTTCAGGTTGGGGAAATGGACTGCTCACAAGTGTGAAGCCTCCTTTCCATGTATGCCCTGGTCCCTGCCCAAATTATGCGTTGTGTACATAGGAGCTGAGGTGGTCAGGATAATGTTAACCTGGCTGCAAGAATCTTCTATTACTGCCCATCATTGTGGAATGGGTTGCTCAGCAAAGTGATGGCTATGCATTTAGAAACATTTTGAAAAGTACACAAGGCAGAATATTTCAGAGAGCCTTTGATTGAATATGATTTTGTCTCTGTGCCCTCGGTGTCTAAATGTATGGTTTTGATCTATTTATGGTATACTGGAATTTGTTTTTATGTAAACTGCTTTAGAATGGTGTTTTTTTTAAGATAAAGCATTATACAAATATATATTTGTATAATGCTTTATCTTAAAAAAAACACCATTCTAAAGCATAGATCCCCCCAAAGTATTCTTGGAACTGGAGTTTGGGGAGAGTTCAGAATTTTCTGAAAGGAATCAGAATTACAGTTCATGGATTCCACGGACCAAGGAGACGGAAGACTGAACGAGTCACTGCTGATCACTGTAAAAATCCAAAATCCTCTTCAATGCCCTGCAAGTTTCGTCAGGTAAAATAGTTTTGACAGCACAATCATACTGAGTCTTTATTTGTATTAAGCCCTTTCCTTGCTTGTCATTCATGGAGAGTTTTATCCTTCAGCACATGAAACTGCTTTATACAGATTCAGACACTGGGTTGCTCAAGGTTGGTACTGTCTATTCAGACTGGCAGTAGCTCTCCAGGTTCTCAAGGCAGAGGTCTTTCATATCACTGATCTAGTCCTTTTAACTGAAGACACTGGGAATCGCATCGGAGACCTTTTACATGCAAAGCAGAATCTCTTCTACTGAGCCACAGCCCTTCTCCAAAGAATAGAGAGGGACATGGGGTGGGATCCAGCTTTTCTAATCCCCCTCCTTATTACAACCTCCATTCCGCCTGGTGTTTGTTCATACATGTTCTCTGATCCCCAGCATAGCCTTTTTGGGTGATCAAAGGGGACGCCTCCGCCCTTTGACATCAGCAAAAAAGTTGGTTGAATGTCCACCCATGAATGACGTCCACGGTCCTGGATGCAAAGTCATGTGTACAGGGGTCATTTCCTGCAGGAGCTCACAGGAGTGGAGCTCCGGCAGTAAAGAGCCCAGGGGGCGGGCACATGCAACAAGCCCCACCCCCTGCTCCCAGCAGCCCTCCGTCAAAGCAAGAAGCAGCCAGGTAAGTTGCAGAGCCCTCCCCCCGGCACCCAGTCCAAAACAGTCCAGTGGCACCTTTAAGACCAAGGTTTATTCAGGTACAAGCTCTCCCCCCTTTGCCAGGACAGATCTGCACGTCACCCCCCCCCATAGCTAGCAATCCAAAACAGTCCAGTGGAGCCTGAGCGGTGGGTGTTACCTTCTGACACACTTCCGGTGATGTCAGAGGGTGTGACATATGCAAATAAGTTATGGTAATGAGCTCCTGCACCTCTTTTTCTACTAAATGATCCTTACATGTGTATGACTACTTATTTGCAAATGGTAAGAAATGGGGAATTTCCTCATTTCCTAAATGATGCAATGGCTTCTGTTATTAAGGAATGTAGCAAAAACATTGCTCAAATTTACCTAAGCATTCTAGGTCAAACTGAAACATTCCCTTGCCCCAAAACTCTCTTTACAACTGATCCCCTGCCTAACCTTCAGTCCACTTGCCTGCTGTTTAATGCTATTCTTTCTCTCCAAAGTAGATTCATTCATTTTTTTCCCTTCCCCATTCCATCTCTGCTGATTAGAAGATTTTTGACCTCTTCTAAATGTGTTACTCAACACCTGTTCACAGTGTTTTAAAGGAATCGGAGAAGCAGAAGATGTTTTGACATTAGAAAATCTGTTTTGAAAAAAAGTCTCTATGCAATTCACAAGCTTTTGCATGCGGTATAAAATCATGCCTGACAGATGTTACTGATGGGGAGTGGGGGATCTGAGCATATTTTGAAATGCTGTCGGTGGAGATAGGTCCTCCTCCCTGCTGGCATATCTGATCAGCGATCACAAACACAGTGACAATCCTGGAACTGATGTGTCCACAGAGGACAGTGCAGGAAGTTGCCTAATGCCATGAGAAACTTCCTTACAGGGAAGTGAGTGAGTAAGTGGCAAATGGCCCCCTTCAGATGGAACTTCCCTGTATTAGTCATTAGCCCAAAAAAGTCAGTTGTGGCACACTGGCAAAGCAAAAGGGGGAAAGGACCAGCTCTTTCTCAGTTTACAGAAGCTTTGCTACCTGGTACCACAACTAGATATTACAGCATCCCTAGATCCAACCCATGGATGACAATGCAATCTCAAAGGCGCACTTAGGCCACTTTAAAATGCCATGAGTCCCCAGCAGTTGTTCCAGCACTTGAAAAGGCACGGTGGGGGTGGGAGGGGAGACCACCTCGTTGTGCTGCACTCAAGGCCCAATGGGAATCAAACCCTTGTGGTTTTTTTAAATGGCCCACATTCACCTCTAAAACGGTGTTGTCGTCCATAGTTCTGACCCATGGACACTGTAATGCCAACTTTAACCCTAAGACCATTCCCGGTCATCACAGGCTGTGTTGGGTTGGTCACATGAGGGATTCTTCCAGGCTGATCTACATGACAAAGGTGTATCAATCTACCCAGCTACTACATTTAACCTCTGGGGCCTTCCGCTGAGTGCCAACCCCTCAAGAGGCTTCGAGGGTGGCAATTAGGGGGAGGGCCTTTTTGGTGGTGGCCCCCTGTCTTTGGAACAACCTCCCTGCTGCGGCTCGCCTGGCACCAAATTTGCCATCTTATCGGCACCGGGTTAAGACAGCCCTCTTGGTGAAGACCTTTAAAGACCTCCCAGGTCATGCAGAGGCCTGATACGATTAGCCAGGTACTTTTCTTTCAAGGTTAGGTCTTTTTTGAGTCCAGTCTATTCTTTTTAAAGTTCTCATGTTATCTTAAATTAATTTTTAATTCTTAATATTTTATCTATTGTATCTTATTGTTTTTGTACTTGTTGTAAACCATCCAGAGAGTTTTGGCTACAGGCAGTATAGAAATAACAATAACAAGAACAACAACAACATCAGTTTTGTCTGAGAAGAAACATCTTGGGTTCCTGCAAAGAATTCTTGGCAATGCAGATTCTTTTTAGCTATCAAAACAATAATCCTTGGATTTTTGTATTGAAAAGGACCAGTTTTTAAAACCTGTTTCATTCTATCATTTATGTAAGATGTTTCCTCCCTAACCTAATAACGCTGTTTGAAGTACTAGTAGGACTTCTGAGAACTGTTTAGCAACATTAGATTTTTAACGGGTTCTTCTCATGCCAGCGCAGCCGAATGTCTTGAACCAGCATTCTTGCTCGACTCTTCTCTCCGTCCTTCCACTCCTCCCACATTCCATCTCTTGTGTAAATATGTGCTGCGTATACACAACAGGAACAGTGTTCTATCACAAAATACACAAAGAGCTGTGCACAGGTATTTTGAGATATGGGAATGAAAAAGAAATCTTGGACTGCAGGGATGTGGATGGCAGCGTGGGAATGGGATCTAATGACTAACCGTTAACGCTGCACATGATATTCATTTACTGCACTTTTATCCCACCCACCTCCAAGGAGTCCAGCGTGGCAGACACAGATCCACCCTCCTCCCTTTTATTCTCACAACAGCCCTGCAAGGTAGGTAAGGCTAAGAGAGAACGATTGGCCCAGGGTTACCCTGTAAGTTTCAAGGCAAGCAGGAATTTGAACCTGGGTCCTAATTCAGCATTCTGCACCATGCTGGAACAGTATATGGGGCTGCTAATGTGAAGAAGGAAAATGTACAGTGTTTAGAAAAGGTTCATTGGTTGTTTAGTTTCTCCTTCTTCATGCCAGATCAAATAAAACTCAAGAGTATGTCATCATGTCTATACATTCTTCCCCATGCAAACTTCTCCCTCCACTTGTTTATTTAATCCATTTGTTCCCTGCCTTTCTCCCCTATGGGCTCCCAAAGCAAGTTACTCTGTTCTCATCTCCTTCATTTTATCCTCACAACAACCCTGTGAGGTAGGTTCGGATGAGACTGTGTGAGTGGCCCAAGATCAACCAGCAAACGTCTGTGGCAGAGGTGGGATTCGAACTCGGGTCTCCCAGATCCTAGTCCATCACTAACCACTGCACCACACATTTGTTGTTTCTCCAGTAGTGGAAATCAAGATTGTAAGCTTATTGGCGAAAGGGGCTCCCCCCCACCTAAAATTTGCTTAGGAGGACACTCCTTAAAATGTCATGTACATCAATGACACCTTACAGCAAGGATAGAAACAAAGAAGAATGTCTTAGGGTGCGTTCAGACGGCTCTTTAGATCCGTGCGAGGCACGGGTGCCTCATGGATTTAAATGTAATGTCCAGACATCAACATCTGGGAAACATCCGTCTTCCATGAGCATCCCGTTTTGCTGCGCTTTGGAGCCATACTAATTTATGTATGTATGTATTTATTTATTTATTATATTTATACCCCGCCCATCCCGCAAGCGGGCTCAGGGTGGCTAACACAGCGGTACGGTGTACCTAATTGACATACATAAAACTTAAAAACTCTATAAAATCTCATGAACAAATACTTTAAGACATAAATTGACAATTTCCACTAAAGTGCATACAGTACAACACATACTAAAAAGATACTACTTTAAATCTGGAGTTTTCGGTTCCGACACGCCACTCGCAGACTTTCCCCCATCTGATTGTTCCAGCACACAATTAAAAATGGCGCCCGTTAAGGATGGTCTGACGTCAGACCATCCCGAACGGGCGCCATTTATAAAAAACAAGGATAAACAAGACCGCGATATCATGCCTATGCGCATGCGCAAAAAGTTAAAAAAAAACAAAAAACCACCACGCGTGCCTCCTTCATTGGACGCCATCTAGACAATCCACAGTGGAAGCAGCGTGCGGTAAGGCGATTCCCCCAGAGGATGTCTGGTCATGCGAGGATGGATAAAAAAGATCGGGATCAAATTTGAGCCGGCATAATGGTGGGATTATCTGTCCGTCTGAACGCACCCTTATACACCCTTCTGAACAATCCGTAACAAGCTGCAGAGCTCAGACTAACCTCTTTCATGTCCTCGTAGAGGAGATACAGGATACGGTGATTTTCCCTCTCTTCCCAGTAACGCTGGACATGGTCATACCAAGAGCCCCACGGGACTAAAGGAGGAATAAGGCATGGTTAAGATCCTAATGGTGGCATCCAGTCAGCTTTTGCATTCAATCTTACTTACTACAGTACCCCTCCTATATGGTCATATGATCATAGCTGTTTTGGTGGTCAAAGGAGACCCACCTTCTCCCTTTTTCAGCAGTAAAAAAGCTTAGTGGATCCAACCTTAAGGATCCTGCCCCCTAGACCATTATAGTTCCTCTTGTTGACAGAGAATGCAGCACTCAGGGTTTCCGGTATTTTCCCTCTAGCCAGTGGATGGAGATTCCTGAGCACTGACCTATTTTTGGCTTTATCCACAACACCCAAGTGTTAAGCAAAGGTTGAATACCTACGATTTGGACACACTGCCCTAGAACTGACCTTTGCCCTCCATGAATTTTTTCACGTATCCGTCCCATGGCCCTGGGTCTGGCTGCATCAAATGCATCTGGTCGAAGAAGTAATAGGAGACCAGGTTGTCCTTGGCATTGCGAGCAACATAGATAATCTGTAAGGGCCAAAAGAGAACCGTATACAGAGGTTATTTCGGGGGGGATCACGGGGGATCGCAGTTCCCCTGGGTGAGGTATGGGGGCGGGGCACATGATGAAGTCCCACCCCCTGCTTCCAGCCACCCCACTTCCGGCCCTCATTCAGCCAGGAGGAGGCAGGAGAAGAGGGAGAGTAAGTTGCTTCGTCCCTGCTTGGGGCCAGGGAGGGCCTTCGCGGGGCTTCCTTGCACTCCCGCCGGCCTTACAGGTCCACTGCTGGGCCCCTGATGTCAGGGGGTGTGGCATATGCTAATGAGTTATGCTAATGAGTTCCCCTAGCTCTTTTTCTACGAAACGACCCCTGACCGTATGTAGTGCTGTGGATAAGGACCGAGGAGGGCAAGGGTGACAACGCAGCCTCATTTTACCTTGCAATTCTTTTCCAGAAGGCTTTTAGGAAGAAGCTGAAACGGCAAGTGAGTTTTCATCACACGAGGAGATGGCACGTCCGCTAGTCTATCAATCGCTGGGGAGAAACCAGAAAAAGCATGGAGGAGATAATCTAGGACAGTGATGACGAACCTTTTAGAGACCAAGTGCCCACACTGCGACCCAAAACCCACTTATCCAAGGTATGACCTAGAATCATAGAATCACGCGGAGTTGGAAGGGGCCAGACAGTCCATCTAGTCCAACCCTCCCTGCTCAATGCAGGATCAGCCTAGAGCAGTGGTGGCGAACCTTTTAGAGACCGAGTGCCCAAACTGCGACCCAAAACCCACTTATTTATCGCAAAGTGCCAACGCGGCAATTTAACCTGAATACTGAGGTTTTACTTTAGAAAAAACAACTCATACATTAACTTAAGATGATCCAAACAAAGTAAGGAAAGCAATCCCAAATGCTTTCATTTACTTAAAATTATTTGGCAGAGAATTTGACACTTTAATGATGGTCTGGGCCTGGCTGGGGCGATGGCACGCGTGCCCGCAGAGAGGACTCTGAGTGCCACCTCTGGCATCCGTGCCCTGGGTTCACCACCACTGATCTAGGAGAACATACATGAGTGCCATCAAGTCAAAACTGATTTCAGCTTTCAAGGCAAGCGAGGAAGAACAAGTGCTTTGCCAGTGTCTTCCTCTGCAGAGTCTTCCATGGTGGTCTCCCCATCCAAGTACTAACTCTGCTTAGCTTCTGAGATATGATGAGACCGGGCTACCGTGCCACCTTCCTCCCAGTCTAGGAGTAGCTCAGCAATGAAGGATGTGATCGGGACTCACCTGAAGGGAAAGGGGGTGGAACACAGTATTCTAAAAATGGCATTCGGACCTGTGTTGGGGCCTGCCGAGTTTTTTCTGTGTCACCATTGGCAAGAATGAGATCCACAATCTCCTGGATCCATGTGGTACCTGCAGGTACAGAAGGAGAGACCCCATGAGGAGTCACTCATTAGGCCTGCCTAGCATCTGATGGAAAATTCATCCACCATATCAATTGGCAAAATGAGAAGAATATGCAAAGAGTTATTACAACCACCATATGACATACCCTCCAAAATGTCATAGGTGGAAATATGATATGGACATTATAGTCCCCAATCCAAGAGTGACTGCTGTATTGTCCCCCCGCATATATCACAAGCATTTTTCTCCTGCTGCAACTGCAGAATAGATTTTTTTTAAAACAATCGCATGGGCCCATTCTGTATCTAGCGTTCGCTCCATTGTTTTACCAAGCCCACATTGGAACAGAAAAAGACGTCGCTCAAAAGCACATTCAAATACCCCGGGCCAACGCCATACTGACTGCAGAGTCACCCCCGAACGGCCATAAAACGGCCATAAATCTATACAGATGGTACCATAAAACTGAGAGATCACAGGAGGTGGAATGGCATGCATTGTGGAGACTATCATAAAATCTGACAATCAGTCAAAGTGAAAGTGGCATGCAATGTAGCAGAGGGGAATTTCTGTTCCAACTTGGGTTTGGTAAAACAGCGGAGCGGATGCTAGATGCAGAATGGACCATGCACAAAATTACATTTCTCTCTTGGTACGCACTGTTCTATTACAGCTTCTTTACTGCTACTGCATAAATTAGTTTGCTCTGGAGCCACATCCTTCCTCAGCTAAGACAAAAATGTGTGAGCCAGAGGCTAAAAAACTGTGAGCCAGCTCACACTAACTCAGCTTAGAGGGAACACTGGCGCACACACAAACACACACGTACACAAATGACAAACAAAACAAAAGATTTGACAGTCAAAGCTCCCTCAACACACACGTACACAAATGACAAACAAAAGATTTGACAGTGAAAGCTCCCTTTGTATCGGACCAAAGGAGTTTTGACTCTCAAAAGCTCCTACGCCTCAAGCGTGGTTGGTCCTTTAAGGTGCAACTGGATTCGAATCTAGCTCTTCTACTGCAGGCTTACACAGCTACCCTCCCGAAGCGATCAACTTTTCTTTTTCTTTTGGCCTGGCCGAAAAAATACGGACACAGTCCCAAGTAAGCTTTGTGTGGATGACTGAAAGAGCTCCAGACATGCTCACAAAACGTGACCAGTGGGTCAGCTACCCTGCAACCCCCATGTCCTACACTGCCCTCTGCTAACATCTCACCTGCTTTGGGGTAGGTGACGACGACCAAGTCATCCGGCCGCGCTTCAAAATTTTCAACACGAGCCCATTGTTGAGCGATGGGCTCCATTAGGGGGACCCCATGGACTGGCACGAGTGGAAACCTCCGGACGACTGCCTTGAGTTGCTGCAGAGTGTCACTGTTAGACTTCTGGCTAGCCATGCTGCCTACTCCTGGCTCGGCTGTGAAGTGGAGTATCTGTTGGGGCAGTTCTCGGATAGGAACAGCTTTTTAATTGTTTCAGGAAGTGGGTGCCAGAGCCCAGTTATGAGCTCACGTATGTCCCCGCCATTTGAAAGAGGCTTGCTTTGCTGGGATTTTCTGTTATGTAGCAACATTAAACACCAGGAAATAGAATTGCTTTGCTGCTGCTTCAGCCTTGCCCGGAGCTTACCAGCTTGGTGAATCAACAGCAAGGCAAAAACCACAGACAGACGGGACACTCTGCTCACTTCTGGGACACTCCCACCCTTCTGCTGATTTTTTTTTTAAATATTTCTTCGCCTTGTAGACATCCTCTTCAGACAGAATCCAGGAATCTTGGTCTAGATTAAAAAAAATCGGTTGCCCTCCCAGGAAATCCAGAAGTTGTAGAAGCAAAGAACATGAAGAAGCCCCCTTTCCCCTTCTAGAACCGACAACAGCAGCAGTCCTTAAGTAGGGCTGATTCTGCACCCATTTGTTTCCTCGCAGTTTTTCCGTAGCCACGTCGGGAGGTTAGTCTCCCCTCTACATTGCATGTCACTTTAACTTTCTGTGTTCATTGGGTTTTATGGTACCTTCTGCATAGATTTATGGCCACTCAGGGGTGACTTCGCAGTCAGTACGCACCTTTTCCTTCCTCTGCTTCCGATCCCAAGGGAGCAATAAGCAGACAACTTGACATGGCTTCACTGATCTCCGTCAGTTCCCCGCCCCTATTTCCCCCTCTCTATTTATCACTTCACCATGAATTACTTGACTCTGGCAGCGAATAACCGTGGAGACAAGTACACCGACACAGGAAAATCTGCGCACCAATGCAGGATTAACCACTGAAAATGAAATAGATGGCAAGCTGACACTAGCCAATGCAGAAACCAGGATCCTTCCGAGGCAAGGGGGAACCAGGTCGAGTGTTGATAAAGCGTGGAGCGAATGTCAGATGCAGAATGGACTTAGGTCTACCCAGAAGTGTCTCATGTTTAGTCAGAAGGGCTTAAAGTATCCTTGGGACTGTAATGTCAGATGCAGAATGGACTTAGGTCTACTCAGAAGTATCTCATGTTTACTCAGAAGGGCTTAAAGTATCCTTAGGACTGTAACCCAATGGTCCTAATTCAGGGTCTTTTATTTCAGTCACAGGTCACCAGGGTTCAGCCCAAGGCTAGGCTAGGCTCTGCACTGGAACATATGAAGACATAAAAAAGGGTGCCTCTGAGTGCATTTTTCTGTTGTTGGGGGATCACACCTCATCCATCCTCATGACTGCATGAAGTAGCAGGGCTTGCAAGCCAGAAAAAGAAGATTTGAGTGGGTGTGAATTCCAGCAGCGTTCCTTTTAGCACTTAGCCTTCATGGGCAGTTATAGCCACAGGTGTGGGGCAGCTGCCCTGATGTCATGCCTGTACCCGACCCGGCGCCTGGGAGCTCTGAAACTGAGGACTCCGTGCCTTTAGCATCATCAGAAGCACGAGAGTCCTCACCAGATCTAAGTGCCGAGGAGGATGAACGCGAAACCCCAGGACAGTTTGCACCTGAAGCCGAGAGGAATCAGAGACGCTGGGATTTGGCAACCAGGCGCAAGGAGGCACACTTGCCTGGTTGGCAATCATTAAGCCCAGATTACTAACAGACTCAAGGACTTCGTGCTAATGAGATAACGACCCAGCACGCTGTTTGAACAGACCACTGTCTGCTAGCAAACTGTGCTGGCAAACTTGTCCGTTGGACCAGAAGCTCTGCATCTCTGACTCTGTTTGACACCTGACTGATTTCCCAGTTCCTGACTCCAGTCCAGGTTTTGACGACCCCTCTGGCTCTTGATCCTCGGCTACACTTTCTGACTATGATACTGGCTTGTTTGGACTCTATCGGTAACGTTTGCTTCCTGACTACGATACTGGCTTGTTTGGACTCTGACTAGCTTTGTGTGCTTGGGACTTTTGCTCAGACTCTTTTAATCTCTCTGCCTTGCCTCTTGGACTGGACTGTAAACTCTCCCTCTCTGCCTTGCCCCACTGGCCCTGTCCTGACACCTGGGCCCTATGTGTAATGTATTAAATGAGCTGCCTATTGAATGCATAGTGTTGTGAAACATCTAATTGAATTGCCATGTTGAGCTTCATCCTGGGCTAGGATCCAAATACATCCAATCAGGTTACTAGCCCAGGAACTAACATCCAATCACTTCACAGCAAGCTCCCTGAGCGGGAACGCTTGTGATTGGTCTTTATTGGGACAACCTCATTGGTTGGTAATTGTACAGTGGGCATGGCTATATTAGCCGGGAATGTTTAAAAGCAGGACAACTGCAATGGAAAAGCTGAACCGTTCTGTTCTGGCTATCTGATGTTGATCCGTGTTCGAGTTGTGTTCGAGTTGAAGAATAAAGTTGTGTTCTTGCTGAATCACTCTCTGACTGCTTTGTTAAGCAAGCAATTTAACACTATGCTTGGGGGGCATGTGGTGAGCCACTCCCCTGAAGCACCGACTGCCACAGAGTTGCCGCTGATCCCCTCATGCTGCTAAGATGCAGGTGGGGGAAAGGTGATCCGTTGTAGAGTGATGGGGGCTCCCCAGCCACTCTACAGCTGATCCCTGAACCACCGGAGACTCGGACAATGCAGAGGGAGGGTGATCAACTGTAGGAGATTCAGAGGGTCCCGATACCCTACAGCCCATTGCCCTTCCCCACCCCCATATTGCCTGACTGACTCCGGGCCCCCATCCTTGGATTTTGCCAAGGGCCCCAGAATCGCTGACTGCCCCATTAGCCGTTACGGGATTCTCCACTCTGCTCAGTTCCCCAGTCAAGGACGGCTTTGGGGGTGGGGGCATCATAACCACTGTTTAAGGAGCCTGACTGGGGTTGCCAACTGGGTTGAGAAATTCCTGGACATTTGGGGGTGGAGTCAAAGGAGGTTGGGGTTTGGGGAAGGGAGGGACCTCAGTGGGGTGTGATGTCGTAGAGTCCACCCTCCAAAGCAGCCATTTCCCCCAGGGAGACGGATCTCTGCAGTCTGGAGATCAGTTGTAATTCTTGCAGTCAGAGTTGATCTCCAGGCCCCCGCCTGGAGGTTGGCAACCCTAAGCCTGATGCTCAAGTCCAGCTCCAGGATTCTGGCAAGTCTCATGGCAGAAAGTAGCCTGTAACCTAAGCAATGTCGGCCCCTAGCTAATTATTCTCTTGCACAGCCGCTGTGTCTAATCTTCTTGGTGGCTGTGTGCGAAAATTAGAAAGAGAGTTCTCTTGAGCCTTTGCTGGTCTGTGTGTGTGCGTGCGTGCAAGCATGTGTGTGTGTGTGTGAGCCTGCATGCCTGGAAGTCATGGTGACGTCTGGTGACCCCCTAGTGGGGCTAGGACATTTCAGAGAGGTGGCTTGATAGCCTTCCTCTGCCTCCCGACCCTGATATCCTTTGGAGGTCTCCCCTCCAAATACTTGCCAGGGTTGGCCCTGCTTTGCTTCCGAGATCTGAGGAGAATGGGCTTGCCGGGCCTATCCAGGTCAGGGCTGTGTGACACTGTTATGTCCGCTGACCGCCACCAGGGGCCAGCGAATACCCCAGAGCTTGACTCTGTAAGAACAATGGGGACCAGGCTCCTAGTCTCTCCACTTGGGAACCAATATAACCGCGGCGGGAGATTTAAACCCACCAACAGGACCTTCACTTCAGACACCAAACCAGGGGTCGTTTCGTAGAAAAAGAGCTAGGAGAACTCATTAGCATAACTCATTAGTATATGCCACACCCCCTGACATCGGGGGCCCGGCGGTGGACCTGCAAGGCCGGCGGGAGTGCGAGGAAGCCCCGCCAAGGCCCTCCCTGGCCCCAGGCAGGCAGGGGTGGGGAGAGGTGGGGAGGAAGCAACTTACCCTCCCTCTTCTCCTGCCTCCTCCTGGCTGAATGAGGTCCAGAAGCGGGGCAGCCGGAAGCGGGGGGCAGGGTTTCATCATGTGCCCCACCCCCCACACCTCACCCGGGGGAACTGTGTTCCCCCGCGTTCCCCCCCGAAATGACCTCTGAAGTCCCCACAGTTGCAACTGGAACCTTGCACACACAGAGAGCATTATACTGTTAAAGACTCAATGCTTTCAATTAAAAAGGTTTGTATAAACATGATCGAGGTTTATAAGATTATGCATGAGATAGAGCAGGTAGAGAAAGAGGTACTTTTCTCCCTTTCTCACAACACAAGATCTCGTGGGCACTCCATGAAACTGCTGAGCGGTCAGGTTAGAACGGATAAAAGGAAGTACTTCTTCACCCAAAGAGTGATTAATCCAATCACTTCACAGCAAGCTCCCTGAGCGGGAACGCTTGTGATTGGTCTTTATTGGGACAACCTCATTGGTTGGTAATTGTACAGTGGGCGTGGCTATATTAGCCGGAAATGTTTAAAAGCAGGACAACTGCAATGGAAAAGATGAACCGTTCTGTTCTGGCTATCTGATATTGATCCGTGTTCGAGTTGTGTTCGAGTTGAAGAATAAAGTTGTGTTCTTGCTGAATCACTCTCTGGCTGCTTTGTTAAGCGAGCGACTTAACACTATGCTTGGGGAGGATGAACGCCAGACCCCAGGACAGTTTGCACCTGAAGCTGATCAGGTAATGCCTGGCCCCAGCAACACGCCACCCGGACTGAGGAATCAGAGATGGTGGGATTTGGCAACCTAACCTAAGCAATGTCGGCACCTAGCTAATTATTCTCTTGCACTGCCGCTGTGTCTGATCTTCTTGGTGGCTGTGTGTGAAAATTAGAAAGAGAGTTCTCTTGAGCCTTTGCTGGTCTGTGTGTGTTTGTGTGCGTGCAAGTGTGTGTGTGTATGCGTGAGCCTGCATGCCTGGAAGTCATGGTGATGTCTGGTGACCCCCTAGTGGGGCTAGGACGTTTCAGAGAGGTGGCTTGATAGCCTTCCTCTGCCTCCTGACCCTGATATCCTTTGGAGGTCTCCCCTCCAAATACTTGCCAGGGTTGGCCCTGCTTCGCTTCCGAGATCTGAGGAGAATGGGCTTGCCGAGCCTATCCAGGTCAGGGCGGCCCTTTGCTGGTCTTGAGTCAGACCTGTGTGACACTGTTATGTCCGCTGACCACCACCAGGGGCCAGTGAATACCCCAGAGCTTGACTCTGTAAGAACAATGGGGACCATGCTCCTAGTCTCTCCACTTGGGAACCAATAGGACCGCCGCGGAAGATTTAAACCCACCAGCGGGACCTTCACTTCAGACACCAAACCAGGGGTCGTTTCATAGAAAAAGAGCTAGGGGAACTCATTAGCATAACTCATTAGCATATGCCACACCCCCTGACATCGGGAGCCCGGCGGTGGACCTGCAAGGCCGGCAGGAGTGTGAGGAAGCCCCGCCAAGGCCCTCCCTGGCCCCAGGCAGGCAGGGGTGGGGAGAGGCGGGGAGGAAGCAACTTACCCTCCCTCTTCTCATGCCTCCTCCTGGCTGAATGAGGGCCGGAAGCGAGGCGGCCGGAAGCAGGGGGCGGGGCTTCATCGTGTGCCCCACCCCCTGCACCTCACCCGGGGGAACTGTGATCCCCCGCGATCCCCCCCAAAGCGACCCCTGCACCAAACTCTCCAAAGCAAAAAACAGTGGTGCAAGGACCACTTAGCCCTAAAACCAGCAGCCCCACATGTTGTTGCTACAGTGGTTTCAGGACTGAATACATCTCACAGTTATTTACTGGTTTTATCTTAGCCCTGCTGTTCTGTGCCCCTAGACTTGTCCAGAGAACCCAGGAGTCCTGATTCCCAGCCTTCACTCATTCCCCTCTGAATCAACTTTTGTGGTTCTTCTGATGTATCCAAGATATTTCACGCTCATTTTTTAGAAGTACGTATTTATTGTAATAAAAGTGCAAATTGAGGTGGAGCGGAATGCCCCTTGATAGTAGAAGTCCTCAAAGAGGTACATTTCTGAGTTCATAATACATCTCGGAAATGCAGGGCTGTTCCTTCCATCTTGCTCTGGTAATCAGCATCAAACATCTCCCTTTGAGCCACTGTAAAATAATTCTTCCAGTCACCGACTTCACCTGGGATGGGGGAGAATGCAGGAGAGAAAGAGGAAAGGATTATGGGTAAATGCAGAATCCTTTTGTCCAGAACCCTGAGATTTTGGCAACTAATTTCACTACCTGAAAAGTACGCAAACGGGGAGTGATTTCAGCAAAGCGTACTTTATTCTATCCAGAACAAGACGACTTTGGCCGGCTCGCAGGCCGGCTTATATCCCCTGAGAAACCGCCACCCAAAACACACCCCTACTTCCCTATAGGTGATTTACAGTGACCGAGAGTCCCATAGGCTCTCGGCCGGGAACCTAGCCCCCTGATTGGAGCGGGCTAGGATCCACATAGTCCATTGTCTCTTGGAGCGAAGCTCGATGTTTGTCTCTGGACTTGTCTGGACTGGATACATTACACCACCCTAGCACCCTTGTGGGTGATGTCGACTGGGAGGCAGAGTGGTCATCCATTCTCTTTTTTAGAGGAGGGCAAATGGAGGCTCATAAATAACCCTGCAGTTCATTAATCGTTTATCCTTTATTTGTTACACCCCAGTCACTCACCTGTTTTTAACTATAAGAACTGTTTAATGTGAATATTGAATAGGAGACATGTTTGTTCTGTTATGACCTTTTCTCAAAAACAATATAGCCCATATCCTGGTGGATTATTTAAATTGATTCCCAGTAATAAATATATAAAGGTCGTTATGATACACTTGAGTAATTGTCTAGAAGACTCAGGCACTCTATCAAAGGGACTGTGAGCTTCCCATTTCAAGAAGAAGAGGAGGAGGAGAAGGAGGAGTTGGTTTTTATACCCCACCCTTCACTACCCAAAGGATTCTCAGTGTGGCTTACAATCACCTTCCCTTCTCCTCCCCACAACAGACACCCTGTGACAAATGATCACCACTTGTTCCACCACTTCCTCCAATAGAAGAGCCACATAAACTACAGGAAGGCTTCAAACTTGAGCCAAAAGGAAATATTTTAATTTTAAAAAATAAACTTTGCTTAGTGGAGTGGTATGATATGGGTAGGATCCACCCCAATAATACTTGCCAAAAGATCAACTTCAAGGTCTTCTTTTTAATCACTAGCCAAATACAATAACAATCACTGAGCCTAATACAAAGAAAATCCACTGCTTAAACTCAAAAACCTCTTTAATAGTAGTTTTTCCCCACAGGTGCTGAAACTCTGATAAAAAACAGAGCAAACAGACCATTCTTCTGGGTGTTCCAAAGTTGTGGAGCTCCTATTGAGAAAGTCACCTTATCGCAGACAGTAGTAATAATTATCCTATGCAGGGCTTTTTTTGTAGAAAAAGCCCAGCAGGAACTCATTAGCATAATAGGCCACACCCAACTGCAGAAACTCATTAGCATATTAGGCCACACCCCTGACAGCACAGCTCATTAGCATATTAGGCCGCACCCCCATGTTACCAGAAATGTGCTCATCCAGCCACACACACCTTTTGCTTCATATTCTGTTTACCTTGTTTGTTGTCCAAACCCAGGGCTTTTTTGTAGCAGGAACTCCTTTGCATGTTAGGCCACACACCCCTAATGTAGCCAATCCTACTGAGTTTCTGCTGTTGGGTGTGGCCTAGTTCCTGCTGGGCGGGGCAACTTGGGAGCCAGCTGGAACTCCGTTCCTGCACGTTCCTGCCCAAAAATAGCCCTGCCGACAGTAATAATAATTATCCTATGGCAGTGGGTATACTATAGCCAGAATATCAGGAGATTGTCTGGAAGCCGCTTTAGCTCTTTTTGTGGTGAGCTAGGTTTATTTTTTGGACTGAGAGAACTGTGACTGGCCCAAGGTCAACCAGCTGGCTCCATGTGGAAGAGTAGGGAATCAAACCGAGTTCTCCAGATTAGAGTCTGCCGCTCTTAACCACTACACCATGCTGGCTCTCATCATAGCCAACAGTGCAAGCCAATACAGTAAAGTGGCACATTGATTTCACTTCAAAACACATTTTTTTAAAAAAACAACACACTCATCACATTCCTCAGGTAACAAAAAAAATAAAGGGAATGTGAAAGTGAAACGGACACTGATGCTTTCCCACTGAAAACAGTGGAAATGAATGTAAAAAGAAATCGAAATAACAAGGAATAACAAAACTGAACTTTCTGAAATGAAAAGGAAAACACGCTTGTACATCCCTAACACAGAAAGATGGCATCGTTGTTTGGATAGGATAGATGAAGATTCATGATTTCAGAGTCATTTGGATCCTAAGGGTGAGGTGCACAAAAACACACCTTCCAGATTTATATAGATGAATGACCACTTGGGTGATGGTTGCGTAATTTGTTACGGATAGTGCAGGCCAGCCCGATCTCATCAGATCTCAGAAGCTAAGCAGGGTTGGCCCTGGCTAATATCTGGGTGGGTGGGAGACCTCCAAGGTAGGGCTGCCAAGTCCCCCCGGGGGGCGGGGAAACCCCCGCCCCAGAGGCCCGTTCCCCGCCGCCGGTGGATCGGGCCCCAGGGGGAACCCCGCCCCGACCAGGAAGTGACGTTAGGACACCGAGCACGCTGGGGGTGGGGCCACGACCATCGGAGGGCCCCACTCCCAGCATGCCCGGCATCCTAACGTCACTTCCGGGTGACGTGTGTGGCCCACTCCCAGCATGCCCGGCATCCTAACGTCACTTCCGGGTGACGTGTGTGCCGGGGGCGCGTGCCCCGGTCACCAACCGGAAGTCCCCCACTGCGGCAACTGCAATGACTTGGCAACCCTACTCCAAGGAATGCCAGGGTCGTGATGCAGAGCCACTTTGGAGTCTCTTGCCTTGAACACCCAATGGGGTGGGGTTGCCATACGTCAGCTATGACTTGATGGCCCTTTCCTCAGTTGTTGTTCTCCTCCATTTAGAAAATTCCCATACTGCAATGGACCAGGGAAGGGGAGAGGAATCCAGCTAGTGAGAGCCATCCCTCCCAGGTTCTCAAAAGGCCCACGTCATTGACTCACCTTTCCTCATAAAGGAGCTTATTGTACGGTCAAAAACTGTGCTGGGGACATCTTCACAATTTGTCATTGGATTGGCCTTCATGGCCTGGAAGGTGGTGTGCTGGGCAATCTTCTGAACAACACTCTCGGAGAGGTCCACTTCCAGGAAATTCTTCACACGCTGGATCTCTCGGGACAGGTCCTAGTGGAGACACAATGGCAGGAGTGGAAAAGAGGGCAGAATGTTACAGACTTCCTGGAACTTACCCTGTCACTTTGTGCTGGAGATTTTTTTTTGAGACAGGTCAAGAAACAACAGAGGGTTGGTTCTACTTCAGTGGATTTCTTCACACGCTGGATCTCTCGGGGCAGGTCCTAGTGGAGACACAATGGCATGCGTGGAAGAGAGGGCAGAATGTTACAGACTCCGTGGAACTTACCCTATCACTTTGTGCTGGAGATTTTTTTTGAGACAGGTCAAGAAACATACAGAGGGTTGGTTCTACTTCAGTGGATTGGCCTACATAATCTTCAAGTTCCCGTGATTTCTGCCCATGAAGCTGCCTTATACTGTTAGACCATTGGTTTATCAAGGTCATTATTGTCTCCTCTGACTGGCAGCAGTTCTCCAGGGTCTCAGGAAGAGGTGTCACTCTCATCTCCTACTTCCTGAACTGTTTTTCAACTGGAGTTGCTGGGGATTGAACCTGGGACCTTCTGTACTGAAAACAGGTACTCTACCACTGAGCCATGGCCTCTATACAGCCAGGGGTCATTTCGTAGAAAAAGAGGTGCAGGAGCTCATTAGCATAACTCATTAGCATAACTTCTTTGCATGTGCCACACCCCCTGACATCACCGGAAGTGTGTCAGAAGGCAACACCCACCGCTCAGATTCCACTGGACTGTTTTGGATTGCTAGCTATTGGGGGGGGGGGGAGGACAGAGCACAGGTTTCCTCGCAGAGGAGGGAGAGCTTGTACCTGAATAAAACTTGGTCTTAAAGGTGCCACTGGACTGTTTTGGACCGGGGGGCTCTGCAACTTACCTGGCTGCTTCTTGCTCTGACTGAGGGCTGCTGGGAGCAGGGGGCGGGGCTTGTTACCTGTGCCCACCCCCTGGGCTCTTTACTGCCTGAACTCCGTTCCTGTGCACTCCTGCAGGAAATGACCCCTGTATACAGCCATGGTCTCGAGCATCCCTATTTTGATTTTTGTTTCAGAGAGTAGCTGTGTTGGTCTGCAGTAGAAAAGGTAGATTTGAGTCCAGTAGTACCTTAGAGGTGGACAAGCCTTTGAGAGTCAAAGCTCTCTGTTGGATGAAGGGAGAGCTTTGACTCTCTAAAAGGAACATTTGGGTCAAGTGGGGTAGCCGTGTTGGCCTGAAGCAGCAGAACAACGTTTGAGTCCAGTGGCACCTTTAAGACCAACGAAGTTTTATTCTAGGTATAAGCTCTCATGTGCACCCACACGTCTTCAGGAAAACTTGATATGCGCAGAAATGCACTCAGGTACCATGAGATTTTGCAGGGAAGGAAAAAATAACATGGGGTTGTAGGGATGTGGGTAGAACTGTGGGAATAAAATATGAAAAAGACTTTCAGAACATAGAATGTACATTACAGTGGTGCAGCCAACACAGAAAGGGGAAATGCACCCTACTCAAAGAACTTCAACGTGCAATGCAGCATTGGTGGTGGTAGAGAGTGTTGTCAAGTCAAGAGTGTTGTCAAGGCGGGGACTTCCGGTTTATGGTGGCACGCTAGCAGACTCACCTCCCGGACCTCCCGGGGGTGAAGCTGCGCTCCAGCCGAAGGAGGGGGTGCGTAGGCTCGCTTACCCCCCCAGAGACCCGGGGAAGGGACTCTGGCCATGGAACTTCTAAGAGGTTGCCTCTTCGAGGGCGGAATGCCAGAGAATTGAGGCACCTCTTCGTTCCGACGGTTCTCCGTGCTATGAGAGATTTAGTGACGCTGACCAGGGCAAGCGTGGGAGATCGAGCATCAGAAATGAAGCTGAAAGCAAGGTCAAATGACGAATTATGAACGTGAGTCAGCTTTAAAATGTTTTAAAGGGAAAAAGCTAGCTCCCCACCCCACTGAACGGGAAAAAGGCAAGCGGGGGAGGGACGCCTCCCAAGCACATGAATTTTTGAGCGACTGAGCGGGGGAGTGGAAGAAAATGCGAAGAAAACTGTTGAGAAGTACTTACCAAAGCGAATCTAAGCGGTCAAGTGCACATTCAGAGACTTGTAAAAAAATTGTGAAAGTAAACAAACAATAAAGATGGTGGGGAAGAAGGACAGAGAAAAACTTTTGAAAGCGAAAGGCTTAGAGAGCCCAAAACCAGAAGCTACCAGTGAGGTGGCTAAGGCTATAGCAGAGTATATGCGTCCTCTGCTGGAACAGCTGAATAACTTCAAGGAACAGATGTCTGTAGTAACTCAAAGTATTACTGCTCAACAAACTCAGATAAATGATATGCTGCAAATAATGAAGCAAGATACTGAGAAGGTAAAGGAAGTGGCTGCAACTACACAGAAGGTGAAGAAGAAAGTGCAAAAGCTGGAAAGAAAACAAATCTCCATGGAAGACCAACTGTTACAAGTGCAAATGGAAAAGGCTAATATGATTCCTCGCTTCCAGGGCATGCCGGAAAAAT